ACGCTGTCAGAATCTGAGCTAGGTCCTTCTGAAGGCCTGGAATCACAATAGGCACAGGTGGTGCCTGAGCTAGTGCATCAATAACTGAAATCTGGTCCTGATCTGGGGCAACTGGTAGATCTGCAGGTACTGCCCCAGCTGTGGTGCGGGATGCACCTCTGCCCCTACCACGGCCTCTACCGCGGCCTCGGCATCTCGCGGCCCTGGCTGGTAGTACTGGTGGCTGCCCCTCCTGACTGGTAGTATGAGTCTTCACCATCTGTGAGAGAATGAAACAACAGATGTCTAGTTACTAGAATCAACAGATTCGCACGACAAGAATTCAAGAATGTGGAGTTTCCTAAGGGTCCTACAGCCTCTCGAAGATAAGTACAAACGTCTCTGTACCGATTCGCAAGACTCTACTAAACCTGCTCATGACTCGTGAGACCTATGTAACCTAGGCTCTGATACCAACTTGTCACAACCCAAACTAACCCTGTCGTGATGGCGCCTATCGTGGAACTAGGCAGACCGACTCATTTTCCAAAACAAACCGATATCTTTATTTCAAAGATAATCTCAAGATTATTTAACATAAAAACCTTCGTAAAGGAGTTCAAATCAAAATAAAAGTGCGGAAAAGAAAAGCCCGATATCGGGGTGTCACTAGTCATGAGCATCTACTACAATTTGTCTGACAATAGCGAGACTAACATAGTCTGAAAAATAGCTAAATATAACTAAAGGAAGATAAGAGGGAGATGAGCAGGGCTGCGATCGCCAGGCAGCTACCTTGCTATCCCTGAGAAAATCTGTAACCGAAATAGTCAACAGCCGCTACCATTGCCAGCTATACCTGGATATGCACACAAGGTGCATGGAGTAACGTGAGTACGCCAACTCAGTAAGTAACAACAGTAAATAAAGACTGAGCAGTAGTGACGAGCAACAAAGCATATAAAGTTCATATCATGAAATCTCGGTAAAAATACAACATGTTTTAAAAATCAGTGTTTGAATCAAATCATCTCTTTTAAAACCCAGTTCCAGTAAAAAAAATCATTTAAAGATATTTTTCAACAGTTTCAAATAGAGGCTCAATGCAAAGGTGAGCAAAAATGATAAAATCATAAATAGGCCCTCGGGCAACATCACTCGTATATAGCCCCTCGGGCAAACCTCACAATCACTCATGCCTCTCGGGCATACCTCACAACCACTTATGCCTCCCAGTCACTCAGCACTAGGCACTCGCACTCAGTATGTACCTGTGCTCACTGGAGGGGGAGGGGGGTGTACAGACTCCAGAGTGGCTCCTTCAGCCCGAGCGTTATATCAAGCCAAATCATGACATAAATCACTCAGGCCCTCGGCCTATATCAAACATGTTGCGGCGTACAGACCGATCCCATAAAACTCCTCACAAATCAGGTCTTCGGCCTCACTCAGTAATAAACCTCTCAAGCCACTCGGGCTCTCAGTAAAAACAGGGTACTCAGCCCAAAACAATATTTATATGCATCAAAACAGAGTAATAAAACTGAGTTATGCAATAAACATGTATAACCATGACTGAGTATAGATTTTCATTCGAAAACAGTGAGAGGATAGTAAGAAAAAACCCCTAAGGGTCCAAACAGCACTGGCACAAGGCCCAAACATGACATTCCGCCTAATTTACAGAAACTTATTTCTAAAACTCATAAGTAACATATAGTTTCAACAAAATATGCAACTTTACAGTTGCTACGGGACGGACTAAGTCACAATCCCCAACGGTGCATGCCCATACGCCCGTCACCTAGCATGTGCATCACCTCAAAATAGTAAATGATATGAAAATCCGGGGTTTCATACCCTCAGGACTAGATTTACAATCGTTACTTACCTCAAACCGATCAAATCCCTACTCCGCGATGCTCTTGCCCCTCGATTCGGCCTCCAAATGCTCCGAATCTACTCACAATCAGTACAATACCATCAATTTATGCTAAAGGAATGAATTCTATAAGAAAAACTATCAAATTAGCCCAAAAATCCGAAATTCACTTAAACCCTCCCCCCGGGCCCACGTCTCGAAATCCGATAAAATTTACAAAATTAGAAAGCCCCATTCACTCACGAGTCCACACATATGAAATTCATCAAAATCCGACATCGTTTGATCCCTCAAATCCTTAAATTAAACTCTCCAAAATCCCAAGCCCTAACCTCTCATTTTCACTAATTACATGATTAAACAACGGAAAATTACCATATATACGAGTATTATGGCTCAAGCAACTTACCTCACTGATAGCCCTTGAATCACCCTTCAAAAATCACTCCAAAAGCTCCAAAACCCGACTTGAAAATAGAGGAAATGAGCCAAAATTCGAGAAGTTTTCTATTTATGGTTTCTGCCCAGGTCTTCGCACCTGCGACCTATTTTTTCGCTACTGCGGGACCGCACCTGCGGTCAAGGTGCCGCACCCGCGAACTCCACTTAATTCCCCAGTTTCCGCACCTGCGCCCCATGCCTCGCAGGTGCGGCCAAATCCTTCGCGTCTGCGCTCCAGCCTTAGCCTCCCCTTTTCCGCATCTGCGCTGCAAATTCTCGCGCCTGCGGAAGTGCACCTGCGTGCTTACACTCCGCTTCTGCGGAAACTGACCAACCTTCTTTTCTCCGCATCTGCGCACCTTCCCTCCGCGCCTACGACCTCGCACCTGTGGCTCCCCATCCGCAGGTGCGGAAATATCAGTAGCAGCAGCTTCAGCTGTATTTTTCAACTTCAAACAACCCGTTAACAACCCGGAATCACTCCGAGACCCTCGGGACCTCAACCAAAAATACCAACAAGTCATATATCAACATACAAACTTAGTCGAACCTTCGAATCACTCAAAACAATATCAAATCACCAAATTATCCTCGAATTCAAGCCTAAAAACTTCTAAACTTTCAAATTCGACAACCGATGCCGAAACCAACCAAACCACGTACAAATGACCTCAAATTTTGCACACACATCACAAATGACACTACGAACCTACTCCAACTTCTAGAAATTCATTCCGACTCCGATATCAAAATTTTCCACTGCCGACCGAAATCGCTAAATTTTCAACTTTTGCGAGTTCAAGTCTAATTCTACTACGGACCTCCAAATCACATTCCGGACGCACTTCTAAGTCCAAAATTACCTAACGGAGCTAACAGGACCATACAAATTCAAATTCAAGATCATTTACATATAGGTCAACATCCAATTGTCTTTTTTAACTTAAGCTTCTACTTTAGATATTAAGTGTCTCATTCCCTCCTCTGAAATAACTCCGGACCCGAACCAACTAGCCCGATATATCATAATATAGCTTAAAAGTATAAAGGAAGCAGAAATGGGGAAAACGAGGCTATAACTCTCGAAACGACCGGCCGAGTCGTTACATCCTCCATTTTCTCGTGCATAATTTCTGGTTGAACAGAATTTAAAAAGAAGAGAATTTATGATGGAGTTTTTGTTCAAGATTCAGCTTTTTAAATATCAATTATTAATTTGTTAGTTTTAGTGTATTATCAATTTGGGGGAATTGGTTCTTAATTATCAACGCAATGGAACATATAGAGGAGTAAAAAGGACATAAGCAAGGGGGTCGCCAGAAAAACTTAGATCCGGCTAGACCCGTGAAAAACAATCCACAAACATGATGCAAAAGCATATCTTCGGCCAGATCTGGATATATCTAAAGTCGACCGATTTTAATGGGGTCACCGACTTTGTAGATCTCACCGGCATTTGAAGGCCTACCGGTGAGGGTTCTGCCTCGACAGAACAGTGACGGGGAGAGGGGGAAAGGTAAAGGGTGGTTGTGGTTAAAGGGGAGGTCGCCGCCCAGCCGGTCATCACCTCCGGAGGCGGCGATTGGCGGCAATGCGGCGACAGATATTGATGGAGAGAGGAGCCGGCAACTGCTATGTCAAAATGAGAGAGGAGATGGTAAAGAAGGTTTCTTTAAATGTATTTTTTTTTTGTTAATTATATGTGTCAAATTTTTATGAAAAAATTACACGTGTCAAATTTTTTTTGCAAAATTACATGTGTTATTTTTTGATTGGTCCATTTGACATGTCATTGGCAAATGCAACTCACGCATATGGACTGATATACTCGGGTGTTTACTTGACTTGCTTAATAGCCACTTGAAGTGTTAAAATGAAAAATGGCTCGGTTAAGGTGTTTAGTTGATCATTGAGTACAACTTAAATGGACACTTTATGTATTTTGCCTTTCACAAACAGACATATCTGAACAGAACCTTTCATAAATAGACATAACTGTTTATTCGATTTTAAAATTTAAAATTCAAATAAACTGATTATCTGTCACATAATAAAATTAAAAGTAAAATATTTAACTTTGGATCCGAGTCTTTGATTATATAATATATAATATAAATATATAGTGTACTCAATTACAAACTTAAAAATATGTGTTCTACATCAAAGACATGAAAGTGACAAGTACAAGGCTCAAAGGAGACCTCTCTCATCCGATGTGGAAACAACCCCACACCTCCCAATTTCAAAATAACAAATTATCTTACGGTTAGTAATAGTGGTGACTATAATGGTAGAGATGGTTGGTAATATATAGTGACTGGCGGCAACGAGAATGGGTTAGTGGTAGTGGCTTGTAGTAGCGATAGGATAATGGCCGAAGATGATAGTTATGCAGTAGAGTGATAGTGAAAGGTCCTCAATAAGAATCTTTTAATAATATTAAAACTATGTTCGATAATCCAAACTTATTTAGACTCACTAAATGAACTTATGCTCTAAGTATATAATATAATAAAAGATAAATGAGAAATTTTGAAACAAACTAAAAGAGTGAGTCATATAAAAAAGAGGTGGAGTTTTTTTCATCTGTCCAAGTGATGATAGAGTAGTATTTTTCGGTATATATATTATTTATAAAAAAATAAAGTAAATATTGCGTGTCGATTTATGTGTCGTTAAACCCGTCCGTACACTTTTCACCTAATAATGATAAAAACAAGGGAAAAGAGCAGATAAGCCCATAAGTAAGTAAAGAAAAATCAGTGAATAATAAATTCTGAGTTTTCCATCCACTTACTCGGTGCCTCTGCTGCTAAGCTTTGATTAAGCGGATAAGAAGATAAGAGGGAGAAAAATAGCATAAGACATTGTTAGCCAAAGGTGTGAATGGAATCCGAAGAAAAGGGATAGAGAGGTTGGTTTTGTTTATGTATTTAGTGGGCGAATCCCATTGGTTAAAACCCTTTGATGAGGGAGGCAAATTTCTGAGGAAGAAGATGATTGGCTGAAGCAGGTCTCCTCTTCAGATCAGATCAGATCAGATCAGAAAAAAGGAAGCCAATTCCATTTTTTCTCTCTTTCCCCCTTTGATGTTATCCACAGTTCCACCCAACTCCCCAGCAGTCAGGTCTCTCTTCTCTTTCTTACCTTTATTTTAATTTATTTATTAATATAATTATTATTATTGCTGCTGTTGTCTATTTCTATATTTTAATTAAAATATGGGGATTTCTACATATTGTGCAATCCTAAAAGTATTACTTAATTATGAGTTCTAAATGTTTGTATTTGTTCTCACATCGCCGCTAATAATCTATGGCCAACCAGGCATATGTCTAGTAACACTTTGTAACGGTGTAAAATTAGCAATTGATTTTTAATTTCTTTTTTTCTTCAACTAGTGAGTGTGTTATAAATTGTTGTCACAGCATAACCGATGTCTCCAACAAATATTATATTTTTTGGTAGAAATAAAGGCTGGAAAATTTTTGCCTGTAAAACTAGGCTGGTTTCTGTTTGATAAATGTCATTTTCATCACTTACTCTGGTCGGTGTGGAATTTTATAGATTAGTTTCTAGATATGTATCTATGTTTTCATATCATTGCAAGTTTGGTCAGCACAAAATGAATGAAATTGATATGAGATTAGATGGAATTGTTGTGCCTAAATCAAACAATCCAGATATTAGGATTGATATATTAGAGGAATGGGTGAAAATGTTTGATAGAATTAAAATATGGTAGTCGAAATGGAGAAATGCTATTGATGTGCTATGTGATAGAATGACACCTACCATAAGTGAGAGGTTAGTTTTATAAAATAGTTAAAAAACCAATAATGTTATATGAGAGTAAATATTTGCCTAAAGTCAAACTTTCACAATATGAATGTTGCAGAGTTGTGGATGATATGCGGTTTTACAAGATTAGAGAAGATTAAAATAATCAAATTAGGCAAAAATGTAAGTTCAAAATATTGAAATGCACTAGTTTATAGGCGTGAAATCATGAAGAATGAAACTATTAAAATTGGACGAAATATACCTAAAATTACATGAAAGAAAATTACGTCGGAGAACTTACAAACTCTTGAAACTCATATTGACCTATAAAAAAAGTGTGTACAATTAAAAAAAAGATATATATAGGTGATATTAGTTAGTTAGAAATATGTTTTACGTTTACTATTTAGTCTTGTCAGAAATTTATATATTAGTACAAATAAATTTTTTAATATTTTTTTTGAGATGAGTTTAAATGAAGTGATATAATTAAGAAAATTTATATACCTGATCTCAATTTACTTAAAATTATGTCAATCTTTTAATTCTATTCATACCACATACAATGTCGCATTGTGTAGAATTCTGTGGGTAAGGTATGGGATTCGTGTTTTGACAATACATGCATGTTAAACTTGTTTTTTCTTGAGTGGAAAATGTATATTTAATTTGTCTTCCAATGGGTTCTATTGTTTTTATTGGAAATTCTACTTCCTATATGTTTTGGGGACAATGAAGGACTGATATTATGGTAAGAAATGATCTTTTTTTTTTTTATTGGGACCTAAAAATGGGTTTAATTGTTAAGCAACCTCACTCGATGCGTAGAAATCTGGGGTTGAACTTAAAGGATTGATATGGTAATATGAGATGCTCATAATGTTTTTAGGACAAAGATTACTTTTAGCCCGCGGCCAATACTATTTATATTCGGTAGTTGTAAAAGAGTATAAAATTTATATATTTTTTGTATATAACATATAGAGATGTATGTGTGTGTATATATATATATATATATATATTTTTTTTTTTTTAATTATATTTTATTTTTTTATTTTTTCCGGCTATTATTTTAAGAGCGACTACAATGTCATTTTTCATATTTTTTATGGGTCGCAAACGGGTTCAATCATTTGCTTTGGTAATTGATTAATTATTTTTAGAGTTTCTTGTAATCTTGGGACTCGAAGCTACGATATTTAAGTTATTCACTTGAGGCGTGACAAAGTTTTTCACATTTTTTTACCTTCTGACTTTTCCTAGTAGAAGTGTGGACAGAGACAAACAATTTTATAAAACTTAAGGTGCCTTTTTGGTTCTTTTTCCATTACAAAAGAAGTTGCTTTCCAAAGTTCTTCGATATTACAAATTAATTGGAATTGTTTACCGCACCTGTGTGGCGTAGCTGAATATAGTGGGTGAAAATCATGTAAGATCTAAGTTGCTCGTCTTCACTTTTAGTTCTGTACCCGTGTCGATACGATGTGGGTGTGGGTATAGGTGTGGGATCCGTGTCGGATCTGGTCAACCAATTTTGGGTACTTTGACCAAAATCAACGGAGAAATTTGGGACAAATACAATAATTTTTGAAAACAAATCAAAAGTTAGGGTGATATGGAAGAAAATGGAATACCTTGTATATATAAATTTTTATGTCAGTCATTTTCCTTTTATCTCCTAAAATTCTACTCTTGTTCAATATTTTCTCCTTCTCGGAACACCTTGTAAGTTTTCCACATAATATCTCATAATTTAGACATATTTTTATAACTCTATTTTTAAATAATTAAATTATTTTTAGCCGAATCCCCGCACCCGTATCCGTACCTGGATTCGTACCCCCGAATCTTTAAATTTAGATCATGAAGGATCTGACCTCTAGATCCGCACCCGTATCGGACACCCGCACCCGAGTCCGAGCAACTTAGTGTAAGATCAGCGCTCAAACTTAGTGAGACAAAAAACGTTGGATTATTTCTTACTATATGTGTAAGTCTTAGTAGAATTATGTATTTATATTAGTGAAAAGATTCCGATGGAATAATCGAGGCGTCCACTTACATGTCTAGTGTCAAAATTATTACATCTCACCCGGTGAAATAGTTGAATTGCTTATATATATATATATATATATTGAGTGATTGTGTTAGCTCACGCCGATATTTAAGTTATACACAACAGACAACAGTGTATTTACCTTGGGCTAATTTTATTGCACTATCTGGTCCCCATAAGAAGATAGCACTCTATACCTCCTTTTTTTCTTTTAGAAATTGTAAGGTAAACACTCTATACCTTTTTATTTTATATAAAGGTATTTGATTAAATATTGAGTTTAAAGTGTTAATGAAATCCATATTGTTTTAGTGATTAAGGGCAGTCAGGTGCATGAAATATCCCGCTTTCTGTAGGGTCTAGGGAAGGGGTATTGGCAGTGCCGGCCCAAGGGTAAGGCTGTTAAAGCACCTGGCTGCTAAAGCACCTGCTTTGGGCCTCATAATTTTTGGGGCCCCAAATTTTAATAACAGGTTATATGTTAATTTATTTTTAGAATAATATTTAGTGTTCTAAATGAGAAAATACAAATTTTCATAGTAAAAAAGTAGGATTAAATTGTTGATCATAAGTTGAGAAAAAATATCTTTTTGAGAATCACTCTCTAGATCATAAATTGGGAAAGGATTCGATTATTAATTCATAACTCAATAAAGGTTAAAACCTTAATACAGTCCCACACTGTGTATATCTCAAGAGAAATTAAATGGATTAGATAAAATTATTAATAACTTTGCATATGAAAAACTAGAAATACAGAATTTAAATGAAATTATATATGAATTTTTCCTTTTATATAAAAAAAGGCCCCTCATTGAAATTTTTTGTTTTAGGCCTCCATATTTATTGAACCGCCCCTGGGTGTTGGGTTGCACCCCAAAGGGTATAATGTAAGTAACCTAGTCTTTTGTAAGCCTACTCTGATACAAGTATCGGTGGCTGATGCAAGTATATTGTTCTGGTGACTATAGAAGAAAATTCTAAAGTGATGGCTGAAAAGCTAGACAATAATCACATCAAAATTTAAAATTTGTATAGTTTGATGAATTTAAGTGCTTGAATTTTTTTTAAGTTTTATAGAAATTTAGTGGTGCCTGACATTTTAAATTGGCAAGGGGGAGTAATATTTTTAAAGATTGACAACAGTATGGTGATCCTAAACAGAACTCTTGCAATTCCTATATTAATATTTGCGAGAAAGCGTAGCCTTTTTCTGTTACTGATATTTATGGAATATTATTGCCATTTGCTAAAATTGATTGCCTGACATCTTTAACCTGTATAGTTATGTGAAAGGTTGGATACCTTTAAAGAGCCTTTTTTTTGCCTCCTGTTGATGATAGGACATTTCCATGTGAATGATGGTTGAGCAATAACACAGCTTTCACAGTTATCCTTTACTTGTTTGGATCATAGAACAGAAAAAAACATCACACAAAAAAAGTTACCAGCTGTTTTAGAGGTAAATTCCTTTTTTGGATTGAACAGTCCTCAGCATATAGTGGTATTAAATGTTGAATTAAAGCTCAGACTTTGGTGAAACCTCATAATTTACTTGTCCCAATATTGTATATAGTAGAGTGTACCCTATTGATTTCATTTAAAAAAAAAGAAATTCTATGTTTTTGGGACAGATTACTGCATTTGCTTCCTACGTACACTACAGTGTCATACTCGTGAAGACACAGAAGGTGTCGGGTGCAACTCCAAGTAGTTGATTGTACTTAATATTAATTGACGTTTTTAACTTTTGATTAATTTGAAGCTTATAGTTACTGAAATTACTGTGTAGTGAGGTATTAAACTAGATAGACATTAGTTGATATAAAAAAAATTTTGATGACGAAGGGGAGCCTTGGAGCAACGGTCAAGTTGTCTCCGTGTGACCTATAGGTCACGGGTTCGAATCTGTGGAATACTGGAATCAACCACTGATACTTGTATCAGGGTAGGTTGTCTACATAACATCCCTCGGGGTGCCCTTCTTCGGATCCTGCGCGATCGGGGAATGCTTTTTGCACTGGGTTGCCTTGTAATTTTTTTTGATGACGTTGGTGTCTGAGTCAGTTTATACACACATGACTAATTTATCATCTTCCACTAACACAAGTATCAAAGGTAGCCTGGTGTACTAAGCTTCCGCTATGCGCAGGGTCCATGAAAAGGCCAAATAACAAGGGTCTATTGTATGCAGCCATACCCTGCATTTTTGCAAGAGGCTGTTTCCTCGGCTCGAAAACATGACCTCCTGATCACATGACAACAACTTTACCAGTTACGCCAAGGTTCCCCTTCCACTTGTACAAGTATCAAGTAACTTTATAGACTGTTTGAATTCACCTACTCTTGCTTCTGCCCTAATTTAAATCTTAGATTCCAAGGTTGTCAATCTAATTCTTCTTTAGTTAGACCACTCTCTTTCTTATGTTTCTTTAAGTAATCATATAATCAATCTACGGTTGGTTATAAGCTAATCCCTTTTTACTGTTATTGCTGTTACTCAAATCTTCTAAAAGACTCAGAAGCTATGCCATTGGCAGGTCCAATTAGGCATTAGAAATTAAATAGAAACTGTTTGGGAGAAAAAGCAGCAATATAGGAAAGAAAACAGAAAGAAAAGGAAGGGAGAGGTATGGAGCATTTCTGTCTTTAACAGGCTGTGTGTGAATTGCCTTTACTAAAGGTCCAAGTTCTCTGTTTTAAGAACAGACACTAGTCATGTCAACAATTTGAACAATAAATATTGGATTTTATTACACAAATATTATTTGCATTTCATTATGCTCACATACAATTGTTTATGCAAAAGAAATGAGGTTACAAGAGTATGGAGATTCTCCTGTCAGTTTCTGTAGCCTTCTGCTGACGTTTTGATCCTGGTCCCATGGGTACCAATTTACAAGCCTTCAGACAAATTGCTTGAAAACCATCAGAAGTTATTTGCCTAAAATGCCCTCTTTTTCAATCAATTGAAAGGTAGAAGGAATAGCAAAGTCTTCAACAAGAACAACTAGTGCGCTAATGTCTTATACGGTATATAAGTCTCCTACACGACTAAAACACTCTTAGAAAACATAATATCGAAAGTAAATATACTAATATTACTAAAATATATTCTCAATTATATTGATCATTTTAATTCATTATGCCCTATTCTTCACTTGGTGTACATGGATTCGAGAAGATTGTAGGTCTTTGCAGACAATTTTCTTCTAATTAGTTGTAGGTGATCACCTCGTCCCTGTTTTGACACTTTCGCTCACCATGGTCTCACATCTATGAATCGATGTGTCTGCAATTCAATGCAGGACATTTTCAAACCATCTCAAGTGGACTCTTCTCACTGTGTTCTCGATGTAATACTACTCGCAACTTTTGCCAAATGTGATCATTATAATCTTGTACAACTGCAAATATATCTTAATATCTACTAATTTGCGGCAATCATCTTGTGGATATGATGGACTTTAACATCTCTAACATTCACTCTCATATAACATTTCTAAATATCTTTCTATACATAATACCTTGATAACACTTTTTTATCTCAACTTTTAAACTATTTTATTTTGATTCTATGTGTAATATCTTTATCTATTGCACCAAAATAGCAAAAGTAAAGTCTTTGATGCTTACAATACTTTCTAGGATAATTTTTCTGGTTATATATATCTAATGACAACAGTAGCGGTTGATCTCTGAAATTGATGACCTGAGAAGGGTCAGGGCCATGTCATGACTTAATTAGCCACATAATTGGGGTTTAGTACATCTATATATATTTGTAGGTCCACTCTGTTTTCCTCGATCTTATTAGTGACATCTGGTGGACGGTAGTTAAAGTATAAGATGTGTGATAAAACCAGCTGTGAATTGCCGTTCTTGAGCATTGAAGGTCTTCCTTGCAGGCCTTAATTATGCAGGCCAGTGGACTACCTTTTCTAATTTTCTTCCAATAGTTTTGAATTCTTGTTTCTTTAGTTGTTTTATTATTTGAAGATTCCATATATAATGAGACTACCCAACCTAACCAAAAAGATCACATGAACATATGCATAGACTTAGTTACAGCACCGAAGTCATCAATGTCCATGTATCTTGTGAAAGTCCATTATTTCACACTTTGGATTTTCTCTAACCGTATAACGGACAGTCAAATTGCTTGATTTGAATGAAATTTTTTGTTTTCTAGTTCGACATCTCTTTTTGGATTATTAAGCTTAGAACCAAGGTGTTCAAACTTGACTTGAATAGATGTGGTTGAGCCACTCAGTCATTTTATATATTACTTTTAGGCTTTAGCACCATCTTTTGTATGTTAGTTATGGAATGAGATTGAGTTATCCAAAAAAGGAGAAAGAACCGAGGGGTTCAAAATATAGATTCTAGATTCTAACTTAAACAGTTAAACTAATAATTCACAGTTGCATTCAATTCTCAATTTAAAGTATCTTTATAGTTTTTCTTAACCGATCAATTCATTGTGCAAATGATTATTCTAAAGGCGAAGTTGCATATATGAATGAAATAAATATTAAAGAATTGGCTCGGTCTCAACTTGGTTCGATTATGCTGTACAAAGCTTGATTGGACTTGTTTTGTACTGCCAAATCTTGGTTTGGTTCACCTTGGACTCGACTTTGCTTGTTGCTAAGGCCAATGACGGAGTTATGTAGAGCCAAGCGAGTTCAATTGAATCTCTTTTATTGAAAAATTATATTGTGTAACGAATATTTTATTATACATAAATTGTTGCATCCCCTTGAGTCCTTGACATAAGAGAATATTTTAATGTAATGGCAAAAAGGATCCAAAGTTGCTTTTGATCATAAGTTCGAATTCGTAATTTTCTAAGATTCTTTTGAACTCCCTTGCATAAACTCATGACTGCACTATTGACTATAGCAAGTTCATGAGATTAGCTCGACTCATATCTATTTGGCTCAATGCTCAAATTAACTTATTTATAGGTCAACCTTTTTATATGCTTGATGTTGTTATAATTGATCCTCCAATTATGATAGGAGCATTATGAATCATACCTCTCTAACTAGATTATTATTATATTTTAAAAGGAGAGAAGTGCTTACACTTGTAATTGTCATTTTGTAGAGTAAAATCTGTTATGTAACTTCTCCTAACTACCCATCTAAGACAAGTAACAAAAGTTAATATAAAAATGGGAAAAAAATAGGTATGTATTTGCAAAAGTGAGAAAACTCCAAAAGAATTTAAAAACCCTAGAGACTGTCTTCAGCTATTTATAAGAACCCGAGACCTCCCTAACCTCTGCCTCTCCTCTGCATAGTGTACTTTGGCTCTCAGAAAGTGAATGACATGTTTCTTTAGACCGACCTTCTTGCCATTTTGACATCTTCATTTCCATCTAAAAAAAGAACAAAAAATCCAATCCCAAAGCCATTAGTTAAAGATGAGGGGAAGATCTTCACCAAAGAAAGGAAACTCGGCAGGAATAATGGAAGTAGAAAAGGTTGACAAACTAAGACAAGAGCCTCATCTCTCCGGTGCCTATATTAGAAACCTAGTCAAACAGTTAACTTCTTCACGTACCAAAGATCCCTTAAATCCTAAAGACAATGATGAGAATTCAACAAAAAATGATGATAGTTTGTGTAGTGATACACAACAATTATCACAGCCAACACCACCACCACAACCACCACAGCTTAAAAAGAAACAAGTGAGGAGGAGACTCCACACTAGTAGGCCTTATCAAGAAAGGCTTCTAAATATGGCCGAGGCTCGGCGAGAGATTGTCACTGCCCTTAAGTTTCATAGAGCCGCTATGAAACAACAGCAACAACAACAACAATCTCAGACAGGGCCACAGTCGTTAGTGACTTGGCCTCAAGAATCTTCAGGAGAAGAACAAGGGAAGCTAAAATCCCGTAGAAATCCGAGGATTTATGCTTCCAACACTATAAACAATAACATACCAAGTTACAACAATATGGAGAATTTCTCCAATTCAACCTTCCCTAATTGCCTTCCACAATATCCTTATTCCTGCCATGTTTCATCCTTTGGTTCCCAATTACCTTTACAAGACCACCTCAATTTTCCACTTCCCAACCAAACATTAGGCTTGAATCTCAATTTCCATGATTTCAACAATTTAGATGCAACCCCTTATTGTAGTAGCAATAACAACACCTCAGTCTACTCATCAGCATCCCCTTCATCTTCTTCAGATGAATTTCATTATGTGGGATTATCACAAGAAGGAGCTCCAATTCAGATGGTGAATTCTATCAATTGTGAAGATTCAGGGTTGCATCCATCAATGGATGACCAAGAAATGGCAGAGATCAGATCAATAGGAGAGCAACATGAGATGGAGTGGAATGATACCCTCAATTTGGCAACTTCAGCTTGGTGGTACAAGTTCTTGAAAACCATGGAAATTGACCCTGATGATGAGAGTAATGTTGCTGAGGATTATGGGTGTTATCCATTTGATGAAGTTATGGAATTCCCAGCCTGGTTGAATCCAAATGAAAGCTGCTTGCAACAACAGGTCGATGAAACCTATTCTGATCCTACCTTACCATGGTAACAATTCCTTACTCTTCTCATTCATCTTTTTGTTTTAATATTTTTATCTCTTTTTACCGAGTAAAATTAAAACATAGGAAATGTTTTTTGTTCCTAGGTCATGTTACTGTACAACCTCGGAATGCTCTTTGCTTATTTTTTATTCATCTTTTTACTACCTTTTGCGTGGAAACAACCTTCCGCCGAAATACAAAATAATATTGAGTAAAACAAAATTATTTGTATTAGGTGCTTACATCACCCTGTATAATTTGACCCTGTATTTCTTAAATATTTTTAATTATAAAGTATTATAACTTATAATATTTTTTTTTATGTAGTTTTGCTAAATTGTAAATTTTATTTTAAAAAACATGAAGAATCTATATTCTAATTCACCGTCAAAGTTTAGTACTTTGACAATTCGTATTGTGAACTGTGCCAATTTTTTGAAACGGAGTGAGTAATTATTGTTATAACTTATAGGTTATTGATTCGAGCATTGAACTATGTTTGTATCAGGGTAAACTTTTAGAGTGCGGTCTACATAATATAAGGGCGAACCTGCATGAATTCAGCCCTTTAATTACTGTGGTACAGGCGTATAGCTAATGTTCTGCACATAGCAGAAGCGTACAAGTATATTGAGTTGCCCAATCATCTTTTTACATCAGATTTTGGTAAATCTTAACCCAACGCCTTCAGATTTATCCCGTAATACTTAAATCTTTTTGCTCAGAACAATTATCAGTAGATTTTAAACAAGTTTGTTCTAATTGGCTTGAAAAGCTTTTAAATTTCCTGAGCCAAAACAGATGCATGGTTAAGCAACACCCACTAACATCATGTTTTGTTAGTATTAGTACACAGAAGCATGGGTCTTTGCTAGGATTGACACGTCAAGCGGTGGAAGAAATGAAAGTGACAACCCATTGGTCCCACCTTTATTTTTGGTTTCCTTTTCCTTTTTCCTTTTTTGGTTATTTTTTCTTCGTTTGGGGGGTGTGGGTAGGGGGGTTGCACTTGGAAAATATTGATTTTGTAATTATCTCTTGTGAATTTTCGGGTAGTAATCACCAATAACATACTCAGTGTAATTTTACAAGTTGAGTCCGGAAAGAGTGAGGTATACGTCAAATCTTATTTCTATCTTATATAATTAAAAAGTTGTGTTTTCAAACATGTTTGAAAAAATTTTGGTTAGTAATCATGCAGCCAAATTGCATTTCTATATTTCTTCTTTTATTTATTTTGTAACTAAAAGAAGGAAGTTTGATCCGTCTGTTTTTATTTATTGTTTACTTATATATTATCATCATCATCATCAAATCTTTGACCTTTTTGTTAACTGTCTTTTTCAAGTATATTATTATAAATTATCCAGTGAATATTCGTTTTCATATGTCACTAAACTACTATCCTCTCCATATATATATATTCTTATTTTAAATTATTGTGTTACAGTATGGACATTGAAGAAATTGAAGGAATGGATGCCGAGTGGTTAGCTTGAACGAAGAAGATTGATTGGTTTTTATCATAATTAAATCTTTGGCTTTTACATTGAAGCCCCCAATTGCTGTTTTTTTTTCTTTTCTCTTTTTCGTTTGGGTAAGGAGAATTTAATTTTTTTCCTTTACTTTGTTTTTTCTTTAAAATTAGTAATAAAGGCGTTTGCTACAATTCGCAGGCTCTAGAGAAAAATAATAGATGAGGGAGAAATTATTATACGTATGTCTCCCAGTTTTCCTTTTCCATCAATTATGAGAGATCTGATATTTAATGGTTCTCATCATTGTACTTTTTAATTATAGCTAGAAAATTTTGTGTCCCATTTGGTTGTGATATACTATCTTCACAAGAATATTTTAGAATTTCTGGGGCAAAATTATTGAACAGAAGCTTCCAAGTTTCATAAGAAAAGGGTCAATAACTTTTTTCTGAACTTGTTTTATCCTTGGATCACAAATAAATGTTTGTACATCAATTTAATTGGTTACTTAGGTTAGTCTAAGAAATATGCATTTTTCTGTTACTAATTCAAAACATTTGGAGATGGCAAGTTGTTTTTAATTATTAATTTATTCAAGGAAAACGTCGTACCAAGAAGTTCGAAAAGAATTATATTCAATCTCTTACGCTGTGCAATAGACCTCTTGTACAAAACCTGTTATACCCTAATTAAATTATCTTCAAGGGTGTTTGAATAAATTGCCTGTTCTAGTTTTTATTTTTTCCCAAATTTTTGGTCATATTGGGGATTCGAGAAGGGAAAGGGGGAAAGTAGATAACAACAACAACAACAACCCGGTATAATTCCACTAGTGGGGTCTGGGAAGAGTAGTGTGTACGCAGACCTTACCCCTACCTGGGGTAGAGAGGTTGTTTCCGATAGACCCTCGAAAACAGCCTCTCTATATTCCTCCAAAAACTCCCCACCTTACTCTTGGGGTGACTCGAACTCTTCCCACCTTGCTCTTGGGGTGACTCGAACCCACAACCTCTTGGTTGGAAGTGGAGGGTGCTTACCACTAGCAACGTCTGTTATATGCACATGAACCCACTGGTGACGCTAGCCACCGTGACTCAACGTAAAATGCATCTTTTTAGATGATTTTCGAAAGAAAAGCTTTAATATATAGTAACTAACATATATATATATATATATATATATATATATATATATGACTAACAAAGTACTATATAAATGTTGGAAGGGGAATTAATGAATATTTAGCTTGAGGTTATTAATGCATTTTATAGGGCAATTCTTAAGCTTTCTTGCAGCTTCAATCTCAAAATTACGGTAAAAGAACAACATCGTGAACAATCAATAGCAAATCCTTGAATTTCCTCTAAACTATATATAGTACTCCTAACAAAAACCGAATTTTCAACGTCTCTAAGAGCACTGTTACACAACTTTTCATGCCATTTTGTCTTCTTCAGGGCTTGCGAATAATTAAATAAGAGATCTAAGATGAGCTTTTAGCTCTTCCATATTCCCCATTATAACACTCACCTTTCACACAATCAAAAGTTGACGAGTATTAATTTATATATCTTAAGTTTTTGAGCTTAATTAAGGAGAGTTTATATATGAACTTTTTTTGGGGGTAAAATACTATCTGCATGCATCAGTGTTCAAACCAAACCATATACGAACCTTTTTATTAGTTAAAAACATACTACTTGTGCATCGATGTTCAAACCAAACTTTATCGACTTGCTATGGTCAAGTCTATGCGCATCTAGTAATTTGGTGCAAACACCAGGTGTAATTAGGTTTTTACCCTTTTCTTAACTTTGTGAATGCATGCCGAGCTATTGCGTGGTGCTAGTATAATTGTCTTTTCTGTTTCAAGCTTTTTGTTATGTCCATGCACTTTCAAATTAAGAGGGCGAAATTCGGTAGAACAGTTTTTTTTTTTGTTTTTGATCAAAGGTAGAAGAAATGTAAAAACAAGAAAAAGTAATAATGATGACATTCTGATTAGCTATTTCTGGGTTTTACTTCTTTTTCTTTTGTTTTGAAGAGTTGTAGTACTGATTGTGCTATATATGGAGATTGGTCCATTTACACCCATAAGACAAAATAAGCTCACACTTTTTCTTAATTATGTGTCAACAAATACAAAATGAGAAGAAGAGAAGAGATAAACAGAGAAATACAAACAAGAATAGTACATAAATAATTTGTTTATCACCAATGTATAATGTTCATAATACATTTTATTTCACAAATTGTCGACAACAAGAAAGATATGCGCTCTATATTAATTTCTTGTAAGTTGCATGACCATTCTTGAAGATTAAGGTGAACATCATATGATCTAAAGGCCAAGGCCAAGATTATATTGGAAAGAAGCTATATATGTTTGTTAATCCTTTCCACAAAATCAACTTAAGTATAATAACGTAACCAATATTCTTGACTATACATTTATATAGTCATTCATCCATCTTGTAACTCCAAATCTTTCATGAAAACTCACACTTATTGTGTGAGAGACTGAGGGTACATATCAACGCAATCAATCCAAGGATTTGTTGAAGGCTTTTTAACACGGCGAATGGCTTTCCAAACAGCACTGTTACACTTAAAACCTGAACCAAAAGCAATTTGCCACACACGGTCGCCTCTTGCAATTTTCTCCTTTGCCTCCAAATAAGCCAACTCGTACCAAATGCTGCTACTAGACGTGTTACCTGTCGAAGACATAATATAATTAAGTTATTAAAAACGTTCTTTTTTATAACAATCGTTTAACCTTTTAGATGAGATGGTCACACGATTCAGTATTACCAAATCGGTGCAGTGTGGCCAGAGAAGCTTCCATATTATTCTCACTCAGTTGTAAGTTCCTTTGAAGCTCATCAAGGACAGTTTTGCTGGCTGCATAGACACAGAAATGCTCGAAAGCGAGTTTGTAGTCTGGAATATAAGGCTTATTGGCCAGTTGGGAATTGGAATTGCCTTTGGCATTATTATTTTTATTGCCAAATAAGTGCCTCCAAACTAGGTTTCCAAAGAAGAAGAGTTGTTCTGATAAAGGTAGAACCAAAGGGCCTAATGTGGTAATGTTTGTCTTCAGAGCATCTCCTGCTACTTCTACTAAATCTTTACTGATCCTTAGTCCCTTGTAACGTTGGCTATCTTCTTCTTGGTAGATGCACCTGAGGAATGTATTAGATGCACTTACATTAGTCAGTGGCATATATATAGCTAGGAACTCTAATAGGGGATTCAGATGTGACTCGAGCAATTTTAACTATTTTTGCTACTACACTAGAATCTTCTGATATGTTAAGAAAGTTCAACAAATTATGTATATGCAAAAGATATTTAATTTTTTTCTAACAGTACATAATTTTCTTACGGAGGAAATTCAATTGAACCTTATTGCGTTCATATATATATATATATAGCTCCACCCCTACGTTTAGCAATTATGTTTTGCTAAATGAACTTTTGTTTTCACATTGTTTAATGTGAGAAGCACCATCGATTAGCTAGGATGATAGGTTACTAGATGAACACCCAAAGGTACCAAGGATGAAGCAGGAAAAGCACACGTAATAATTAACTAATTTTATGGGTTATATGCTAAATCATTTATGCTATGTATCAGTGACGAAATCAGAAATTTAAGTTGTGAATTTAAAGTCATGCTTAAATCTTCTATTCCACTTACTAGAATATTTTCATATATCAAGAGAATTTAATAACTTTTATATATATGCAAAAAAGAAAATTATTTTTGCTCTATTTGCATAATATAATTTTCGTTTGGCCTTTTTAAGGAGCAACATAGGGTGAAATATTTCTAAAGTTAACGATGGTCTCATTTGTATCTCCAGAAAAAACCATGCATGTGATATAGACATAATAATGATTATGACATCCAGCTTAATTAGTGTGTATTATATATTCAAATTAATTGTTTATGAGAGAAGAGCTAGTTTATATTAAGCATAATTTTATGGGAATCAGCTGACACAAGTAAGATAAATATTATTGTATTTTCTTAGTCTTTAAAGATACATCTTGTTCACTTATTTCCTAAAGACTAGATCAACCTAATGAAAAGGAGGCAAATGCACCTTTCCTCCCATTATGGTAAAGAAAGGTCCATGCTTATCTTTAGGAAGAATTAATAGCCGCTCACCCTAGCACTTAAATTAAAAATAGTCGGTAAATGTATAATATATGAATAATTTATGTATTGTATATGTATAATTGTGTATAATCAATGTATAATCTATGTATATGACTAGAAAAAGTAAACAATTAATATGACCGGCTATAGGTGTAAAACCCCTATCTTTAATTGTTGTCCCCCCCCCCCCCCCCAAAAAAGTAAATGCATTGTTTAATTTGGTTAGCCTAACTGCTAGTCCCATTTAAGTCAACGAACTATTAAATTAATCTTCTATGAACAGCCTTTTACAATAAAATATCGACGAAATTGTTAAGAACACAAATGTGAAGATAAATGGTATGTTGGTCCCAGGAAGCCATTTATTAGACAGATGGGACATTATCTGGTTCTAATAAATGGCTCAACCGTGTAGTTTGAAATTAAACTATACCCCCTCTTCAAGTACCGATATATATGTATCACCTAGCTAGCTAACATTAAATGCAAGTTCGCTATACCAGCACAATTTCTGATAGCAACAATTATTTGACATATTAATGTTTTGACAAATATATATATTTGAGCTCTCTTTAAAAACTGAAATTTTGAATTGAATTGGTTATATAATTCAATATGGTACCAAAGCTGACTGTGGGATCTTAGTTTCAAATCTTACGGAGGCTTACTAGCTATAACAAAAAGAATTTACGTGCTTGACATGTGAAAATGGATTAGGTAAGCATGCATGCGAGTAGGCGTGTTGAAGATATACTTACCAAATAAATATATATAATTTCTCTAACCACTTAAATTTTTAGATGAAATAGTCACACACAATAAACCAATAAAATTGTATTTTAAATAGAACTTACCTGAATGCCCGATCATTGGAAGCTTTGTGTGTCCTGACTATGTGCTCGAGGCTGTACTTAGCACGGTGGTAGTCACGGCGGCGATTAGAGAGGAGAAGGGCGGAGCAACCCATCCGGAAAAAGCAATTAGGGATAAGCATAGACCTTTCTTTACCCGGATACCAATTAAATCCAACCATTTCAGCACTAACCACCACTGCATAATTATTAGGGTTAGCTTGTAACATATCACGTGCCAAATCCAATGCTATAATCCCAGCACTACAACCCATTCCTCCTAAATTAAAACTAAGTATATTCCCTCTCATTTTGTAGTGATTTATTATCATTG